CAGTTCTTTGAGTCGATTCTGTTTTGGTTTTGTTTTTAAGGTCACTTAAGGTACAACTATCCGCATCACTGTGTGTGAGACGGCTTAGGGTTTTAGTTTATCCCAAAACTATACGGAGATCACCCTCCTTGAAATAATACTTTCCTTGTGTTTGCTTCATTAACTTCCTATTTTTCCCACTGCATTAAATTGTAAATCTTTTCCCTGCTCTTTAATACTGGCGTCTTCTAGTCCCCAAGCCACACCCCATTCAATTATAAATCATGGACTCATGCGGCCCCATAATTTACCTGGGAAAGAATCAACTGCCCATGAAATGTGTGCACAAATTTTCTTAAAAATGAGAAATAGGTTTCATCTCCAAGTCTTGTGGCAAGGAACCGAAGAAGGAAGTAGCCCTAGAAGAAAGGAAGAAGAGAGAGAAAAAAAGATGCCTATCACAGGCACATCACAGAAATGCTTACACAGTCAACGCTAAATAACCCGCCAGGGCACGCGCACATCTAGAATGTACCGTCTCACCATCCCAGGCTGCCCTTTATGTTCTGACCAGGAAGGCTGGGCCTGGAAATTAATTAGCTTTCAACTCCTTTGTTAATGTTATCGCGATCTCTGTTTTGACTTGGTTCACATGAAGCCTGGACGTCCATCACGGACTAAAAAGGAAGAAGGGCCCAGCCCCTCTCTAAATTCAGCTCCCAGGAAAGGCCTTTACAACTTAAAAGATTTCCTTTTTACTCATGTCGTCCAGTCAGAACCTGACGGCCATGTGAATGCTCTCCCCCTCAAAGCTCACCTGAAGCAGAGAGGAGGGAGGAGCAGGGCAGGCCTTTGATCCAGGCCTTCCTAACTAATGGTGTCCTTTTTTGGGCATAAGGTGCTTCAATTATTGGACACTCAGATGTCTGCCCAGTCAGATGTCATTACAACATGGATGATTTTTTTTTGTTGTTTTGCCTTAGCCATATTACTAATCTTCAGTGTTTAATTGTATAACCTAAAAAATGCTGTACCATCATAACTGGCTTCTGCCACTTAGATGCGCTTACCTTTAAGTAATGCACCTGCATGAAGGTCTTCTCCGGATTGAGTCCGTGTTTGATCACCGATGCCCCTGAGTCGCTCACAAGGCCGGTTTTTTCTTTACTGGGTCTAAAACAACGCAGTAACAATTTCTGTAACTATAGAACACGCTCATAATAACTAATTATGCCACAGCACCGTCTTATTTCTTATTTTCAGAGTTATTGAAAAGCATCTTAATTCTATTCAATAGTACCAGGTATAATTTAAAACAGTTTACATTACATATTCATATACTGAACAAGAAGGGATTTGTATTTGGGTTGGGAACCTGAGGTTAGCTCTTGGCAATATTTTATATCCTCTTCTCCAAGATTAAATCCTGCCAGACCCTCAAGGACTCTAAGCTCCAGTGTGAATTATTTAAGAACCCATGCCTTTTTTTGGTCGGAATGATAAACTGGGAAACACGATGGAAAATGTAGCTTTATGTGGAAGAGTAAAGAACTTGTATTTTTTTCAAAAATTTTTGAAAGCCTCAATGTTATTTGCTTCTCTGGATTTACGTTTAATAATTAAGGCTCCTTTAAGAAATATTTGTATTCTGAACCCATTTTAGAATTACAAAACCAAGAAGGTCATAGAAGCTCATGTTTTTAGAACAAGTGGGGACATTAGTAATGACAACTTTAACCTTCTCATTTCGCAGATGCGGGAAACCGAAGCATACAGAAGTCAGGTCCACACTCAAGATCTTACAGCTTGTTTTAACTTGCGGTAACACTAGGACTCAAACCAGTGTCTCCTTATTACCCATCAGGGTCTTTTCCACTATGCTGCATAGTTTTAAATATTTCTAAAAATTACTTTAATAAAATATAATAGATCCCTTGCGCCATCTAGTAAAGATTTCTGCACTGTGTTGCAGTGAAGCTTTAACAACTAGCTAAAACCAAAATAAGTGACAGGGTATTTGCTGTTTTCAGCTGTTCTAAAACCAGTCACTGGACAAATATCGGGAAGCATGTGTTGAGGATAGGAAGGTGAGGAACGACAGGAGGGTTGGCAAATCAGAAAGGCAGGGGAGGGGCATTTTAAAAAGGCAGCGTGGTGTCGTGTAAGGCACACAGGCTTTGGAATCTGAGAGACTTCGTTTTGAACAGCAGCCTTACTATTAATACTTACTAGCAGGTCACTTAAATTCTCTAATCCTCAATTTTCTCGCTTGTAAAATGGGAATAACCTTACCTACCTTCCCAGGCCCTGTAGAGAATAATTGAAATAATATATTACAAAGCCCCCCTAGCAAGAGTCGGGGACATAGAGTTAATGAAAACTTAATAAAATATTCTAGCTATTTTAGCACACAGAAACTCTAAGTCTTAGCTGAATATCCCAGTACATTATCTGAGCACTCACAAGGCACAGAATCAGCAGATACCTAAAGATGATCACCAGCCACTAGAGCTAACTGCATAGTTTCAATTCTTCTACTTGATCCCTGACTTACCTACATGAACACACTTGTAAGAATGACTAGTCCATTTGATCTTCATTGAAGACTCCTCTGAAAAGTATCAGCTTGTTTCCCTGTTCTCAAGTTTGCCCTGGGGTGAAGTGTTTTCATAAGAAAGCCACACTAACTTTGACAGCGGAAGGCCATCCGCCGGGGTCTGGGAAGGAAGGCTTCCTAAGAGTCAGCCTGAGCTCAAACCAGGTTGCCCAACCCCACGTGAGACAGAGTTGCAACCATCTTTATGCCCTTGAGCTCTGACTTGAGACTGCCAGAAGGGGAGAGACAGAGAATGATGTAAATCTCTGCTCAACAGCCTGGCTTCCAGGCTCCAGTTTCTAATGACGCCTTTAGTTGCTGTTTTTTCCTTTGCCTAAAAATGTCCTTCCCGAAAGCATCCTCTCTTACTCTCTTCTTCCACCCGCTCCAAATGAAGAAGTGCTCCAGAAAATTCTTTTATGCTGACAGCATCCGAAGCAAACATCCAAGTCCCCAAGAGCTTCCTTTTAAAGTAGACTTGCTGCCAGAGGGAGCGGTGTGGAGGCAAGCTTTGCAAAAAAATCAAAGGGCTTGGTTTTAGGAGGAGAAGACACTCTGTGAGTGGAAATGGGTAACTCCCATCTCTGTGCTATTCCCGTCCTCGTCATGCCACTTATCCTAGGTCTGTGCAGAGAGACAAATCACAGAAGGCAGGGGAGGAACTGCTGCCACGTGCAATGGCGTAGGTGACTCTCACAGCCCAGTGAAAGAAGTCGGACCCACAAAGGGCACATAAAAATGTACAGTCCCATTTCGATGAAGTCCAAGAACAGACAGAATTGACCTATGGTGACAGAGATCAGAATAATGATTACCTTTAGGAGGAAATATTGACAGATGGGAAAAAGCAGAAGATTTCAGGGTGCTGGGGATGTTCTCTATGTTGATCTGAAAGTGCTTCCATAGGGATAAAGGGTAAAGATCCTTTGAGGCAACTAGTAAAGATTTGTGTACTTTAGTGTATGTATGTTATACTGTAATTAAAAAGTTAAGAAAAAACACATGTACATAAAACAGCACACATTTTGTGAGAATAAAAGGGAGTCAGTCTAGAAAAAGGGCTTTGCTGCTCATTGCCATGAACACATGACTAGGATTAACTAAGTCACCTGAGGACTAAGGAAGTATTCTTTTAAACAACAGTGTGAGAGGCAGGAAGGGCTGTGGCAAATCCAATGGACTTGATCTACTCCCATTCTCATCTTCCTATTTTGTTGTCATCTGTATAAATAAGTCTGAAAAGCCTATTTTATGAGTGTCCCTTGGAGCTATGGATAGCCAGGGGACTTATTTCGGGCCAAAGTAACAAAAGCAGGTGTCTGCTGTGGTTGTGGATATGGTTCTGGGAGAGTTTTTGCTTTCCGTACAAAAGGGGAAAATGACTACTACTGTACCTCTCTCCCCTACACATGGTGGCTGGAGCTGCAGCAGCCATCTTGCAACCAGGAGGCAGCAAACCACTATGCCACAGAGAGCAGAATGGAAGGAAAGAAGGTAAATAGTCTTTGATGGCATCATTCAGCTCCTGGCTAGCGTGGGACTGCCTGCCTCCGGACTTCTTACTGTGTGAGAAAAATAACTACCATTTGTTTAAGTCAACATTGCGTTACTGTTGCATTAACGTAACCAGATTCATTCCTAATGAATGGAGGACTGGACTAGTACAAACGGCTAACATGTCCTGGTTATGCTGCATGCCAGGTACTCTGCCAAGCTGTTCTCACGTGTCATGTCCCCTACACTCATGAGAACCTGGTGAGGTAAGTGCTATGATTGTACACATTTAAAAGCTGAAAAAAGTGAGGCCAAGAGAAGACCACAGGGCTGGTTAGTGGCAGAGTCAAGGAGGGAACCCAGGTCCACAGAACACCCAAGTCCTTGCTGCACTCTGGAGCCCAAGATCCAGGCCCCCATCTTGGCTGTGCCAAATACTAAGTGGAGAATCTTAGACAAATTGCTTACCCTCCCTGAAGCTTTCCTTACCTGTAAAGTCTGGGATGGCAAAAGTGTTAATCATCTCTTAGACTTTATACTCCAGTATTTATTTCCTTGGCTGGAATACATGGAATGCGAGAGATCAAGTTACCAAGGTCATTTGGGCTCAATTGTCCTTGGTTTCTGTTGTACCTGGCACCAAACGCAGCAACTGAGACTGACGCGACCTTTCCCTTCCCCACTGCCTTCCTTTGCCGCTGCACTTACAGAAACAACGTGGATATTTAAAGAGTGGGCAGAGGGCTGTGATATTTGATACACAGTGATTTGATTTGCAATCAAGCCTCTTGAAGAAAAGACCACTTCTGCAGGACTATTACCAAGGGTGGGATTTGCGAAAATGCCTCTGGAAGGTCCTCCGGCATGTCAGCTGGGTCTCAACACCTACTGCTCTGTCCCAGCCCAGACTGGCCGTCTGCCAGCACGCTTTGTCTCATCCTCCTTGGCAGTCAACATGAGAGCCATGAGATATCTTCATCTATAAAAGCGCCACTGCCGTGCTTGAGCCAGGGACTAAGCATCCCAGAAATGAGACAGAAGGGAATTAATCAGCATTTCAACATCCCGGTCTGTCTGTCAGTCGCAGCTGCCCCACGAGGTTTGACAGCTGTGGGGGCAGGGCCTCAGTCGCCCTGCGATAACGGAGCAAGGTGAATACTACCCTTGTGTAGAAACTGGCCTCACAGGAACCGCCTGAGCTCCACATGCACAGGTGAGGCCTACAGGAGAAGCAGCATGACGCGCTGCTTCAGCGCTTGGCTGTGAATCTTGACTGTGCCACGTGAAGCCCAGTTCCTTCACCTATAAAAAGGGGGCAATGATAGTTACTGCAGCACCTCACTGGGCTGTTGTGGCATCTGAGGGTAGTTAGCCAGAGTCCCCCCTGGCATTTAGTGAGTACCACACAGATGTCACGATTATCATAATAATGTACTCTGATGGGGTCCAGGCAGTGTCAGCCAAACCCTCCTCTGACAGGCAGATGTTAAAAAGACATCGGGCTACAGTTACGCTTGTGAGATGTTATCACTGCAGGAAGCTGGGGGGAGGGTACACAGGATCTCACCCCACTACTCTGGTAAATTCTTGTGAGTCCAAAATTATTCCAGAACAAAAAGGGTTTAACAAAAGACATCACACACAAATGCAGCCTTACACCTTCCGCTTGCGAGATCGCTGATTTGAGCACGAACCCTTCAAAGGCCAGTCTCTCAGCTCGCTCCTTGTGTCCTCATCATCAGAAAACAAAAAGAAACAACACATTTCAAGTGTTGCTCTGAGTCCTGGTAAGCCAGGTCTGCGCATCCTCCTTCCAACACACTCGTCCCCGCCTGCACACTCCCTCTGTGCAGAGACCTCTGGGGAAAAGGCGAAGGGAGAATGACTGAAAGTACAGGAATTTTCTATCCTCCGTTCGTTTTCTGCAACAATTTTGCCATCTGTGAACTGTGAATGACGAACACTTGCCACTGACTAGCATTTGCGGTGCTACCAAAGGGAACTGGGCAAAAGGTTGTGAGTGAACCTTCAGCTAATAAATTTGTGTTGCATCAAAGCTACTGGTATTTGGCAAGTGTGATTG